AGAACTGAAGTAGTTTCTGTAGGTTCTCATTCTTCATCATTTGCAATGGTGGCAAATGAGGTATAACTTATCCCAGAAGAAAATAAAGCAAGGAATGTTCATCTCTGCCAGCCAGAATGCTAACAGAAGCCATACCACTTCAGAATCCAAGGGAATGAAAGCAGGTGGCACACCTAGGGAGAGCACTACATGCAGAAGTGGTATATAACTGTATTTGCTGAACTCTAAATTTTAAGTGCATAAGGGAGTCTGAGAGATCTGATATTGCAGGTAGCAATGTTGAAGTACTAGTTTCAGCCAGCTCTTTGCCAAGTGACTTCTAGTTCTATTGACTTCAATATGAATATTGATGGATGGTTATTGGAGTCAAACTCTGAAAGGAATTAGGTAAAATTAAAATAAAGCTTTAACCAAACCATTCCCAGGACCCCCATTGGGATATCTACTAGTTCTGAAATGTATGGGAAACAAACAAAACAAAACTAAACCACCAAAACTTAACTTACCAAAAAGAACCCAAAACCCTAGAAATATTAAAAACATTAATATCCACCTTAAAATCTACTGCTCAGAGGAGCTGTTCACTTAAGTCCATCAACAGTCTTTTCTGAATAGCTCAATTAATTTTTAAATCTTCGTGAGATCAAGGCAAGTTAGTTGTCACATAAACCTCCCATCCATCTGGGCCATCCTACTTAATGGAGGGAGCAGGAGCACCCACAATTTGCAATGTAGACTAGGATTAGAGGAATTGAGCAGGCCTTATTGCTCATCCTCAGCTTTCAAGGGCTGAAATCTAGACATCCTGATTATCCATAGTGTGTTTAGCCAAGTAACTTCAGGCAGGACCAGAAAGGAAAGTTTTCCATGTGTTTGCATGTGGAACCGAATCCTTTTCCTTATACAGAAGAGTCACAGGAAGTATAGGAACAAAAATTGCAAGAAGTCATTTTCTTAAGGCACATCCATGAAGACATTGATGTCTGAGGGAGGAATCATGTGGTTCTAGAAAATTTGGACAAAGTAATTGATTACCTAATATGCAGCCACTGTACTTAAAAACAGTGAATAAATTTAAAATGGAAAGATGTTATTACCACAAATAAGGCCATCCTATCTAATTATACCAATCAAGGCAGCAATAAAAAGTATGTCAAATTGCATGTTTTTCAGATATCAAGACAGTTATTATGGAAAATCTCAGAAGTAAAAATTAAAATTATCAATGTTTTCTTCTATGGCAGTGAAAATGAGCTTTCATTACAAGTGTCATAGTTAACTCATGAAAAAAATTTTCTACAAGAACAAAATTTGTTATAGTGTCTTATGTTTACTCTTAACAGTGTTCTTCCAAAATTTGTAAGAACTTTTTCATATTAAAATTTTACAGTGAGTTAAAAGAAGGGAAGGAAGAATCCTTTGACTACATCATACAAAAGACAAGTCTAGATTTCACTTAGAAGTATATATTAGGCAAAATTATTATATTTGGAATAGCAACAGAGAGAGCTCTGTAATTTATGCATGAAATTCTGAGGACTTGGTTCAAATAACAGCATATGTTCTTATGAGAATGGGTGATATTCAATATGTAAATGAGGGGCATATTTTGGAATCTCTCAGATCTAGAAAGATTCCACATGAAGTGCATATGAAAAATGCTTTAAAGAAATAGTGATAATTAGGAAATTAGTATCTTGAAGATTTGTGGAAAAATCTCAAAAAAGCTACAGTCTGTGTGTTGTGGTGATATAGCTCTATCTGTACAAGTATAATGAAGTAGAAATCAAAATATCCTGTAAGTGTTTCAGATTTTACTGTGTGCTGGAAATTATTAATCAAAATGTTAATACCAAGGTCCATAGTGGCCTGAGCCTTGGCATGGACAGCAAAGAGCAATTACCTGATCTCCAATTTTTATTTTATTGAACCTTATGAAGCAGGTGAACAGTATCCTGACCCTCTACCTTGCAGTAAGGTTTTGAAGCATGGTGAAACAAGTGCAGACCCACGTCTCACTCTTGTTCTGTAGCACCAGGTTACAGCAGCTGTTCAGAAAATAGCAGCCTTGAGGTTACAGATGAGGCTGTGGAAGCCACCACAACTGAAATAATGATTTCTCCCTCCCCTCAAGGGACTGTTCTGTCACAGTTATTTGAATTAGGAGTCATCCTTTCAGGCAAATAGCACATGAGAACACTGAGCCTCTTGTAGGACAACAAATCAATTCAGGCAGTTTGATTCTGGTGTCTGTACTTGCATCAAACAACCCTACTTGTTTAAAGTAGTTAGGCCTTGTGCTCATAATGTGTAGTTATAAACTGAGATGATGAATACTTGTCCTTCATAAAACAGCAGTCAAATAGCAGCCTCTTTCCTTTGATAGATTAGGATATGTATTTAAGTAAGTAATGAGTGGCAATGGCAGCGTTTTCAAGGGAGATAACAATGAAAAATATCTCCAGTTGCTTCAGTGAGAAGTATAACCGGGACTTTTTTCATCTTAAAAGATGGAAACAATTTAAACCAATAAACTTTACTCATACTGACATACAGAATAACTTAATATAATTTTGAAAGGATCACATCATTTGTTATTCTTCATTTTCCTTTTTCATTTGGCCTTCATGCTATGCATTTTTCACCTGTTCTGTCTCACACATGTGAGAAGACCTTTACTATAAAAATGATCCTGTCCATAAAGTCTTCATATTCTACTGAGAAAAGTAAAGTAAATAGACATACCTCAGGTCATATAATTTAAAATATAAAGTTTGAATCGGACAGAAGTACAAAGTCCTGAGAGCTGTAGTGCTCCCATCCCAGTGCCCCAGGTTTAGAGCTGTTTCCTTCAGTGCAAGGATTGCACATGCTGGGAAAGGCAGTGGAGCCCTCATTGCTCCCACATCCTTCTTCCTCCTGTCCTTTTGATTTTATACAGCAAGCTGGAATGGACGCTGGTGCTACATGATATTTGGGATGATATTGGGATGATATTTCATGCAAAGAAATAAGAATATTTCAGGGGTTATTATTCCCTTGTAGAAGACACCAAAATATAGTTCTGTGAGCACTGAGGCACAAGCTTGTCTAAGAATTTTGTCTTACTGTGGAAACACACAGAAAATACAGGCTTGTTTTTACACCTGTATAGTACAAATCCCTGGCTCTGGTTTTACCACATCATGGTACTAATTATAAAAACACCAACAGGTTCTCTTAAGAACTTTTTATGACTTTTGAGGCTTTCCCTACCCATGATGAAAATGTCTTTCAATCCTTTCCTGAAAGGAGTTGGGATGTGTTTGTGTGTGTGTTTTTAACAAATTAATTAACAGTTTATTTCTTTAAATAAAGCAGTTGATTAACAATTCCAATGCATTTAATGTTGCATGCTTCCATTTGGTCAGAGAGCCTTTTTCCTGTGCTGGAAAGAGTAATCTGAATTTATTTCATTTTTCAGGTGTAGTTTTCTAATTACCTTCTTTGTGCTAAAAATTGGTAAAGTTATGTTAACATAAAATTCTTTACTGGAACTTTCTCTATATGATTTACAAATATTGGCAAGTATTGGCAATATTTGGTAAGCACGTTTTTAGCATATTTGGCTACACTTACTCAGTCAAGCTGAGTAATTAAATTGACCAAAACAGCAGGATGCTGAAGATATGAAAAACTTTCTCATGAATAAATGTTGCACATTGAGGTTCCTGTTGTCCTTTATTATGTCTGTCGGCATGATTCTTCCCCACTACATGGCTGCATGCCCCAAGTTTCCTAAGAGAAATATCAATAAAATGCTGCATTTTTAACCAACAATTTCTACACCAATGGGGTTTTAACTAGTTAGTCTAACCTATTAAAACTAGTGTCCATAGTTTTTGGCTAAATTTTATTTCTCAACCCTGGACACCTAATTTCCCATTCTGACTAAAAAAGCCTTCCTGTTGAAATTAATTTTCATAATCTTTTTTAACCATAAAAAAGTGATTCATTTTTACTTCTGTTATATTCAGAAGTGTCATGTAAGGTCTGACATCCAGTTGCCATTTTCTCCCTGCAGCTAACCTATCTTTTTCTCTATTTTATTTTGATCTTTTTCATTAATGCAGTTCAAATAATGAGGAAAATCTTATTATGACCAATAAAAGTATAGTTCCTATGCCCTTACGTTCAGTCTCAGTTCTAAATGCAATGTAATGAGAAACTATTATTCACCTTTATTTAAAACCAAGTATTTTCAGAGTGGCAAAGTTGTAAGAAAGTGGAGCCATAAATACATTTCTGATGGGATGTATGTGCAAAATGACTTCCAGAAGTTTGAAGTCATCTTTTCTATAAAAGTCCTCTTGATTAAGACAGGAATTTCTGTAGAAATTCAGGTGACTACACCAGTAGCTAATCTAATTTATTATAAAGACATATAGGGTCTTTACCCTATTTGAAGAGAGGAGGAACGTGTGCTCTCCTCAGACTGCTGTATGGCAAGCTACTGCTCACACAATAGGAGACTGAGGCACAGAAAGGCTGTGTGCTGGGTCTAAACCAAGTAAGGATTAAAGAGATAGAAAAAATAATAATTTAACTTCCCTTACAGTGGGACAGATTCTCACTGACAGAGAGAGAGGGAATGGGAATATCCCTGCCAGGGTTTGGGCAGAAAAAGGTAACACCATAAATCTCTTTTTATGCTTCTTATTTCAAATTCAAGACAAATTTCTGATAGAGTAGGTAGATAGATAAGGTAGAGTTATATGGAATTATATGAACTGTACATGGAGGTTGGATTTCCTTATCTTAGGATGTTTTTGGATTGCCTTGAAATGCATCTTTATTCTTACCCATTGTGTCCCACTAATATAAATAGGTATCATTCTGGCATTCAGCTAAGTAATTCTTTTGTCGTCCACAGATGGACAGGGGATTACATGGCTAAGAAATGAAATAAAAGCTAAATCCCTATGCTTGATAAAGCTTTGCTTGTTTTCTCTTTTATTCAGGATTACCGAGTGAACATCTTTCTCCGTCAGAATTGGAATGATCCACGCCTTGCATACAGTGAATATCCAGATGACTCTTTAGATTTAGATCCATCCATGCTGGATTCCATTTGGAAACCTGATCTGTTCTTTGCTAATGAAAAAGGTGCCAACTTTCATGAAGTAACAACAGATAATAAGTTGTTGCGGATTTTCAAGAATGGAAATGTACTTTATTCCATCAGGTGAGTCTTTAATCTAATGGGGTTTTTTTCAGATAGAAGCTCAAAAGTATAATTAGGATTTTCTAAAACGTATATTCAGTTGCTAGTCATGCAGAACTATTATTTGTGAGTTTTGTATGCAGAATTTTGTCAGCATTCATTGTTTATATTAAAATAAAAAATGATCACTCATTAGTCAGGCACACAGTAAAAGTAATAAGAAAAATTTCTTTCTCATTTTAAAGTACAGGTACTGAGCCTAGAGGAACTAGGACACTGCACGGAACAAATAATCCTGTAGTACTATAATCTGAGTTGGCCTATATACAAGTTTCAAAGTCTGTGGCCTCCAATGTCATGACAATCCAATGTTACTTCTTTTCTCCCTTTCTGGACACTGCAGTTGCACTTCAACTTGAAAACATGGCCTGTTAGAGGAAGTATGACATTTATAGCATAGTCATTTACTCAGCTCTGAAGATGGAGAGAAAACTGGAAAGTAATTCTTTGAAAAGGTTTTAAGAAGCTGAAAGCAGTAATCATAAGTATTGACAAAATCTAATTATCCCACTTCCCACCACTTTCATTTCAATAGAGACATCAGTAGGTATTTTACCAGTGTCTTCAAAAAGCAAATCTAATGAGAAACACATTAGATGTAAGTGTGCTAATACCCCACTAGATTTGGTATTGAAGCAGTGACTCACGTCATGTGCAAAATGTTACTCTTTTCAAAATAAATATACTATTGTCAACTCAGTGTTTTGCTTTGCATGCTTTTATGACGCTGAGTTTATGGATAATTAGACTCTTTGAAGAGACATCGGGAATCTCTAAACGCTCTGAATTCTGGAGAAAGAGACAACTTTATGAATTGCATTAATTGTATCAGTGGCAAGAATCTCCTTCCTCCTTCCCTCCTTCCAGTACCATTAGGCAGCACTTCTCAAAGCTTACACAAGGAGAAAAGGTTGGGTTAAAATTCTTATGAGGATTTCATATCCAAAAGGAGGTTAGTCTGCCACTCTGGGAACATAATCAATCTTCAGTGTCACAGCATGTATTCTGTCACTAGAAATAGATTCAAAGTAGATTGAAAGGATTCCTTCCCTGAATTCAAGTAGAAATAGATCTAACTCAATTATCTGAAGACTTTCTGAGTCACCTCAAGAGGCACTGGGTGTTGTTCCACTCTAATCAAATAACTCCCTGCCTTGCTCTACTCCTTCCTAGTGCACACTGTACACAGTATAGACCCCACCATTCAGCTGAAACAAGTTTGGATTGCAAATTCAATACAATTTAGAGCAAGTTCATGGCCACATGAAATGGGGTGAAAAACCCCAAATGTGAGAAATAGGATCATATTAAATTATAAAGGCAAAAACCAACTGTGCCAAAAGCAGACACCAGATAGTTCCTCAGTTTCTTATGAAGCCAGAAAGTTTATGTTGCCTTGATTTAATTAAGAGCTATAACAGTTTCTAAAACAGATTTAAAGTCATATCACTGGCATCTAGTTTAGTTATGTGCATTTGAGTAAGCTGACCTTCTGATAAGGGGAGATATGCTAATTGCTATTATGCTGATATTAAAAGGAAAAAAAAAAGTTTCTAAAATTGCTTCTTTTTTCATTCCCTAATTTCTCCTCATCTCTAATTGCATTGGGACAACACAGACAAAAAAAAAATAATGGAGGGTAACAGTTCCCAGCTCAATGAACACTTAATATAAAATACTAAAATATTTACTGAAGCACAAATTAAAGTCCAGGTGCCTCTGAAATTACTTGCTGTGTTACCTACTAGCCAGAATTTGCCTTTGGAACTATTTTTAACAGCATGGGAACAGGGGATGTGTCTGACTTCCCTCTTCAGACTCTCCCCATGCAGCTCTATCACTGTCTGGCTAAACAGAAATCATAGCAATAATGAATCAAGAAGGTTTGGTCACCAACAAAAAATTAGGTAAAAGAAATATACAGCCATACTTGCCAGCTACTGCCCACTTCCCTTTAGCCCCAGTGCCAAAAATGTCAATGGATACATAGGCGTAGCCAGGAAGGAAATCTCATGCCTTTATCTCTTATAAATTCTTCTTTCTGATTCTTCAGAGAACTTTTACTCGAAAGATAAATTATTGTAAATAATTTATAAATTATTATAATAAATAAGAAATAAATTTTTAACTTAAAATTTAAAAATACCTCTTTGCTCATAATTTGAAAAGAATTTCACAGGAATTATTAGGACTAACACTGATGCACAGCTGCAGTTCAAAATTGCAGCCATATTTTGGTTTACCATCAATATCATCAAATGTTTGTTTAAGCCTTTGTGTTGACATTTTAAGCACTTTATTTTAGGACAGCAACACATAAAACTACTTTTCCACCATGACTGCTGGCATATGTTATGAAATTCTTGCAAATTTGTGTAATTTTTATGCTGTAGCACAAAAAGGCACACTGCTGCTGCATTCCTTTAGACTTCTCATTAAGTTAGGCCTCCCTACTGAAAAATTTAGTTTTCTGATAGTCTGCAAATTTATTTTCCATTGTGTCATACTAGGTTGAGTTAGATGGATTCAGCTAATAGAGACCTTTTTTGAGAGCTTTCTATGGAAACATGTATTCTATTTCTAATTGCTTCCTTTGTATTCACACATTCTTCCCGCACAGTTCTATGGCTTTTTTGGGGGTATGTTTTAATAGTTTTTTTGTGTCTTTTCAGATTGACTTTAATACTTTCCTGTCCGATGGATCTCAAAAATTTTCCAATGGATGTGCAAACATGTATAATGCAGCTGGAAAGCTGTAAGTTTGCGTAATGTATTATCCTATACATACTTTTGCAGAGATTACAACAGCTATACAGGAGGTAGGAAAACCCCTTGTGGTGGTACAAGAACAAATTTTCAAAATGAATATTCTATTTCATCAATAGAATCTGTGAAGTATACATGATTTTGAGGAAGATTTGAACTGGAAATAGAGTTTTGTGTAAATCTGAAGTTACCATTAAACTCAGTGACAGTTTGTGCAAATATTTCTGCACATAGGGTTTCACCATAAGTCTTTCTGTGTTCACACATGCAGGAGGTAAATAATAGAGAAAGCATAAAGGGAACATTAGAATAACTTAGAGAAGTGATGGATGGGGCTTTATGTGAAATAAAATAATTATATTACAACATATAGTATATTTTACTTAAATAATTATATTACAACATATAGTATATTTTACTTATCATCTACCTTGATATCTTGTTACTTAAAAGAGGATGGAAAGTGTAAAGCAGCTATGCCATCTCAAGGCACAAACACACTCACAAAAGGAGAAATCAACTATTCTGTCTGATGCATTATATTCTCATTTTCCCTGTGATATGAAGTATTTGGGAATTGCTGCTTCCCTTAAATTGAGAAGACTTTGAAAGAGAGCTGTAGCTGAAAAACCCTCCTAATGATGCAAAGAACAAAAATAAAATAAAGTAAAGCATTCTTTGAAAGCTTTCAGCAATCTGAAGTTAGTGAAAATAAATGACAGGAGTAAAAAGTATTCATCTAAAATATCTAGATTTACAGTTTTAGGGCCAACAAGTAAAATATTTCAAAAAAATAAAAGAATTATTCTTATAGAATGAACATATTGGATTATTTTAAACATATCATACATCAGAAACACAACAAATATAATTTTATTAACATTTTTTGGAGTTTTTTTCTTTTACTGGAACAAAGCAGCACCTAGGGGAAGGGGAGGTAATTATCTATCAGTCAGTATGTCAGAACTGTTTGTTGTATGGTGTGCTATTTATAGGCTATTGCAGGGTGAGTACAAAAGCCAGATCTATCTTTTATTACAATGAACAGATGGTAACATTATGAAGCAGCCTTTCAATATGAGGGCAACAGCTGAATCTGACAGCAGAAATTTTCTTGACTAAAATGGAGAGATAATTATTTGCTGCAAATGTCAAGGAATTTAGGACAATATTATATACCCAGGATTTGAGCAAAACTCCACAGCCAACCTGAGCAGACAATCCTACTGATAACCTGTATAATTAATGTGACTAAACAAAAGGTTACTAACCAGGAGGCAGTTGCATCAGAGTACATGCAGATGGCAGGTCTACTCACTAAATACAATTATGCTTCAAAGAGGAAGTATCATAGTGTTTGACTGAGCAAGCAAAATGCATCATTAAAAATGCTTTGAGAAGTTTTGAAGCTTTTGCTTTAACAGCTTCATAAACTCAGCTGCATTTTTCCTCTCTTTCAGCTGTTGTGAGGACAGGTCACACAACAACTGAGCATTCTTGAACAAGCAGGCATCTGGTTTGCTTTAGAGAAACCTTGCAGGAGGCCACAGTTCCCACAAACTACACCACAGGGAACCAACATTTATTAGTTGAATGGCACTGTGGATGTTCTACTGTATTTTCCAGCAGAACATTTTTCACTGAAGTCTTGTTTTTAATCATTGAGTTCAGTGGGCATAAATTCCCAGCTGCACATTCACACGGTAAGGAGAGGTTCTCACAAAAGAAGAGCTGAAGAAAATACAGATGAGTGCTTCAAATTCTTTATTCACGAAGAAAGATCAAATTTGATTTCATAAGGAAGTTGCAAGCTATAAAGCTTTTCCCATATTGTCCTGTCTAATTCTATTTTACCTGTAACTTCAGACATCAAAAAACAGACTATGGGAAAAAATGATGGCCTGAGGCAGAAAATGTTGCAGCATGTGGGAGCTCTGGATATGCTTACATGTCTGATAGCAGAATAACCAGTTAGGTTTGCAAGACCAAGGCAGCAGTTCCCTGAGATTATTTTGGTACAGATCCAAAACAGTTACATTTTGACCTAAGTTCCAAGATCCTAGACTTTTGAGAGCAGGAATTCACCTGTCCATAGCCAGTTTCTCTGTACAGGAAGGACAGGAAAAGAGATAAACAACTTAAAAGTGTTACAAAAAATATCTACATGCCAGGAAGAAGAGTGATCAGGTAAAAAAAAAAAAAAAAAACCAAAAAAAAAGTAGTTTATATGAGAGTGAACTCTGATCAATTTCCAAAACTTAGGAAAGGATGAGCAGAAACACTCAAATTCCAGACTCTCTGGCTAAGAAAAGACATCTAGTTCTATTTAAAATTATAGAAGATAAAAGGAGGATGATGCATTTGGCATTTTCCCAGCCTTCACATCAAATCTCCCGAGGTAAGAACTGACATAACCCTGAGAGCCTGATTCCATCCAAGCATCTCTAATTTCTAGGCCACAGTGTCATACTCTGCTCTGGCTGTCTGCCTTGCATTTTTGGTGCACAGTGAGACAATGTAAACAGGGGGATCAAAGCAGTAACCCTAGTGGTTAATGCCTTGTCCGGGGAAGTAGAAGACATTTGGTTTCAAAACAGAAAACACAGTCCTCTCATGTCCTGAGTGAATGATCTGACCACCAGGCTATGTTATAGCCTGGTTTGCAGGAGCAAAACAGCAGTAGCTGTGCTTCCAGATGTTTCTTTTTGAAGTGGTGATCACTGCTGTTTTTTCCAAGTTGTGTAGGACATTGTACATTATGAATTTACAATGCCCATTTGTCTCACAGTTTCTGTAAAATGTGTCTGATCTTGCAAGACTTGCTTCAGAATGTGTCACTGAGAAAATTAGAATCAATCACCTATCTTTACTCAGGTTACCACTGAGTTGCAAAGACTGACAATTATAACAGACAGATTATGGGTTTTGTTTCTCCTTTAAGTAGTAATTTCTTTTAGTATTAGATACTTTCCTTCAGTATTGATATGGTTTCTCCATCACAGAAAAGTCTGAGAGAAAAAATCCTGTATAGCTTTTATTCCCAAATGATATCTTTATTTTTATCTGGCTCATGTAACGTTTCCTCCAAGGTCAGTCTGAGCAGCTGGATTTGCCCCTGGTAAAAGTACTTCATTAGATCATGAAGTGTCTGAAAAATATTTCAGTAGAAATGTCTTCTATTTTTAAAGGATTTATTTTACCAAATGATTTCTCAGCAGCTAGAATAGCTGCTTTTTTATCTTAGAAAGGGAACAACTGAAAATGCACATATGAAATAATCCCTTCTACAATTCTATGCCCTACACCAGGGCAGCCTATAGGCATGTGGGATAATTTTAGTTTTATTCTGCTTGAATAAGATACAAAGAAATGTCAACCAGATATGTATTTATTTCTGTGGCCTTTCTCCCCAGAAAGAAATGTTTTTCTTTCATATGCTAGAGCTTGTTGTCTTTCTTTTTTAAGTCTCTCTTTTACCTCGCAGCATTCCTTTACTCATAAATTATAATTATAATTTTATGTGACATTTAATATCCCTGAATTTTCAAAGAATATTGAAAATACTAAGTTACAAAATAAAAAAGATTATGAAAAGCAGCATAGGTAAGGTATAGAACACTTTCTTACCTCATAATTTTAATTTGATGTTGATTTTTAAATTAAACAGTGACCCTTTTTTCCCCCCTTCTGATTTATGGGGGCTTTTCAGTCTTTCTAAGCAATCATGCTCCTGTCTTCTGGATTGTTAAAGAAAATTCCCTCTGTACTACATTATTATTTGCACAATTTCTTTCCCCCCAGTCTCTAATTTGGAGATCGTACAAGTGGAAAGATGGGTATGCAGGCTGCAGCAGTACAAGTTAATGCATTACAGAAAAGTGTAATGTGCACATTTTTCCTTTTCCCACAACAGCACAAAGACAAGATAGGAAAGATAAAATAACTGGAGCATATTTCTTATCTGCCAGGGAATTCTCAGGTCTCTACCTGAACAACAGAAATTATGGACACGCTAGGCCAATGCCTGTCTGTGCCAGAAGGTGTGGAATCATACTGCTTCTCTCCTTTCCATTTCAGCAGCACAAAAATTATCAGCTGCTGAGGCAGTGATTTTTATTCTGCAGATGGGTGACTCAAACTATTGTGTCTATCTGAAGCGAGACAAGAGACACCACAACAAAGATCAGCATAGTTGTTGTCATCAGCTCCTGACCAATGCAGGATAAAAGGGCAGTAGGAACTGCACAACTGCTGCTGACATGCAGAAACTAGAACAAAAATGATAGCTGAACACCTATAGACTTCAGCAAGAATAGTAGGTTTGAGAGATGTGCTAGAGTGCTGAGCTGAAATGTTATTTTTTTCCAAATTCAGGCTAAGAAGAATAACCCTATAACTCCTCAGGGAGAGATTCCTTCAGAATGACTTAGAGGGCAGTGCAAGGGGCAGACACTTTTCAAAGCAGCTCAGAAGTACATTAAATAAAATCCTGCCTTCTTGGAGTTCCAACAAAAATTAAGCCTTAAAACTAATCACAGCTCATTTCTGAAGCTAATATATTTAGTGCATAATGTAGAAGAATTTGTTCTAACCTCAAGCCAAAGGCAGATTCCTTAGCTCTGTCATATCTTCCCCCTGCTACATTGCTGGGAATTTAGGGCACAATTCAAATGTCTGTCATGCTCTTAGGAGCAGCAATGTGCAGGCAGCCTGTCCTGGAGGCAAACTGATGGGATGCCCAACGGAAGAGCAGTGGAATAACCCTAGTCAACATTACTCTAGTTCTTGCTTCAATTGGAGACCTAAAGAACTGATGGGTTTGGACCTGTACCTTAGTAAAAATTAAAGAAATGAGAATGGAATTTAGATAAATCACTGAGATTTAAAAAAAAATGTAGTTGAACTAAACTCTTTTGCAAAAAAGCCAGATGCTCTGCTCAGTTCTTTCACATGCTGAACATGTGTCTGTTTATTGAACATGAGGAAAAG